TTCAACACACTGAAGGTCATTCTGTTGAAAATAGTGGTAGTTGTAGCTGTCAAAAAGCGAAAAGGAGACTTCACATTTTGTGCAAACAGCTTGCGTTTGGATAGTATACAAAGTAGCTCTGAAAGAAACTCACGAAGGATTGGTTGAACTTCAACAATATTACACGAGTGCAAACATTGATGTCATCGTGTCCGACTAGAGTTTTGGTTTGACTCTGAAGATAAAGTCCAACTTTTGGTAGATAATTCCTAGAAAGCATACGCAGACGAACAAAGTGGTTTGCACATACATTGACACGAACCTAAAACATTTTTCTATTATCGCAGCAAAGTCAAACCATTCGTTACTACTTGAAATTCAACCAGAACAGCAACAACAAGAAATATGAGCCCAAGCCTAGTGCAGTATGGCATAGTCATCAAGTCTACAAAGAGAATGATTCCTGCTTGTATCTTTTACTGTTTTCTTCGTTGTTGGCTTGACTGGAAAATTGCAATTGTTTTATTTACTTGGAATTGTAAGCAGACAACAAGAACGACAACAACAAGACAAAGTTATAGTGTATTGGTTAGTGGTACTTGGAATATTAATAATAGTTTTTGTGATAAAAGTACGAATTTGACCTATTTTTTACCATACAAGAAAATTGTATTGTTGACTTTATAAAAGAAAAAGGCATTATTTGCACATTTACGACTATTCCTGCACCTTACTATTAGTAGAACTACATACGGTCCTGATTTTGAACAACAAATAGGGTATCGAGTTGCTTTACTGGTCGATTTTCGATTTTCTTGTATCTGTTTGATACTAATCTTTATCTTTTGATTCTTGAAACGAACTTATTTGTTATCTCATGATAGTATGATGAAGAACTAGTCGTCATTTCTTTTCCGAAAACGTCGACGTACAACCTTTCAGAAGCTTTTTTCATTGGAAATCCCGAACACAAAGAATCTCTTTGCCCCGTGATAGTTGTTTTGCATTTGTAGAGATGTGTAACTCCAAGTGATCAATTCGAGACAATCTAGTCAGTTGAATCAAGTAATCTTTGACAAGTGAACTTGCAGTATCATGAAAGTGTACAACATACTGTCTTATGTGATCTTGAATCTACTACTGATTTATCTTGATATATTGTATTGTTCTTATGTCGAAATTAAACCTTTTGACTATTTATGCTTCAGAACATTTCCATCTTACTTGTTTTTACCCTGAGGCCAGCTTGATATGAAGTTAGTCATCTAGTCGATAAGGATAAGATAATGTCTCTATTTCGTTTTTTCTCTTCTTTATCGGCGTAATTGTAGAATGGTGATGATCTTGTTTTTTAGAGTTGTAATGTGTTCGAAAAACAATAGAATGCTCATTGTACAAGAAAAGGGATGAAGATGATAGAAAGTAGTATTCAAAGACTGCGGTATGGTGTAAATTCAAAGAAGGAATCGACTAGATTGCTGTCAAAGTTCTCTATAAACGATTTGCTGGGAATAGAAATTGAACTTGTCTTAGCACGAAATACTGGTTGTTTTCCCTTGTTCATATGAATTGTTATAAAGAACAAAAATTTATGTTTTACATAGTATATACTTTTCAATGAAAGAATATAGGAAGGTTAGTTGAAAGAAATTCAAGGAAAAGAAGTAAATCAATACTTCCCTGGCTTCACAGGGTTAAAATATCAGACCTATAATTTATAGATTTTGAGGTTGATTCTCACAAAAAGCAGAATCAATTCTGTGATTTTTACACAAGTAGCAGCAAAACACAAACTTCTTGTCCTGTTCTAATTTCAGGATCTTTTTGTATCTCCTTTGCTGCTTGAACTTTTTAAAACCTTTGGTGGTTTTCATTCCCTCTTAATCTCGGACTATTACCACAATTGATTCAAGTGATAAATGACAATGTATTTATGCCGTACCAATACCTTGTTTCTATTGATGAGTTGAATTTGAATCTTATTTCAGAGTGATATCCGAAACAATTCTGGTTACAGCTGTATTGAAGGAAGTAATGATCACTTGCTTTAGAGTACTCTGAATCTTAACACTTCTAGTTAAATCTCAACGGGATATGGCACAATTATTCTAGTAGATACGTAAAAAAGGTCTTCTCAACGTATTTAGAAGTTGGTTACTGTTTTATATTACTTGAATTGTATACTGAATTCAATGATTTACTGTTCATTGGAAAGAAAGTAAGATACCTCTTGGTATTGCTCATTTAAGATAGCATTCTATATTCGAGTTGGTCATTTGTTGATTACTAGTCTAATATCTCATCATGACGAAATTCTGTCTCATAAGTTTGTGAAATGTCCTCTATGGTTGATTCAACTTTTGAATTAGAGATTATACTGAATTTATCGAACGAGTTAGTCCTTATCCCGGGAAAAATTATTTGCCATATAGTATTAATAGTAGTATTATTACTAAGGATACCGAAGACTAGGGAGCTGAAGACTTGGTTTGAGAAAAACTTGGTAGTGTTTGATTGTCCAATTATTCCTCCGCGATACTTGCACTTTATTTGCGATACCGGATATGTATTTCTTGATCGTTTCATCCTAGATAGCTTCGCGAATCGACTCAAGCCGTGAATCGTATTATACCTTTGCAGCGCCACGAATATTTGCTACTAGTTTATATATTTTGATATTAACTAGTTGTTTGTTTAGATATGACTACGTTAACCTGTACTTGATTCAATTGATTACTACTTGTTTTGAAGTGCTTTTAGTTATACTATTTCGTTCCAACCAAGCATCATTGGGTGAGCTATATTCATTTCCTAGACAAGAGTAAGGATTCTGATGTCAATTTCTTTCAAGTACTCACATTTTAATGCGTTGCTTGTTAGAAACGTTCAAACTTGACTATTGAAATGTAGCCCTAGTAATGAATGGAGTCAATGTGTTAGACAAGATAACGGCACAACTCGATGCACAAAAAGTGGAATCAACGTTTCCATTCAAAATCAATTGTTTGATAGCAAGACTAATATACGTTGTTATTTTTTAGGGGTATCTAAGAGAGAGTTGGTTGAATTGTCATTATGTGGACATTGGGTTATCCAATAGAGTTTCTTTTAGATAGTGTTTTTATAGAATGGCTTCTTTAAGGTAGAATTGATACTTTATTGACTACTAGTTGTCGAGTTGATAAAGACTTTGTACCTTTGCACTTGAAATCTTGCTGTTTTATGTACGGAGTCTTTATATCCGAAGCAGTGTTTTATGTGGTCTTTAGGTTCCTTGTATGCTTGATCCAAAGTCGAATTGTCCAAGATTATCTTGATTTGTCTAAAGTATTCTAGTCCTTACTCTAAAAGGATGATTTGCAGACTATTATTTGGGTTACTTAGAATCAAGTTGAAGATCAATTTATTCGAGAATCACTGGGTAAGAATCCGAATTGCAGCAAAGCATCAATTTTTCCCTTGATATTTGTATTCTGTGTGCACTACTGGACAGGTGGTCGACCATAATTCAATTTTGGTACATTTGTGGATTGAATTTCATATTGAATGACAATGTGTTTCTAGATTATTGAGAGCATGTTACTATTGATGATTATAGATCAATCAGCATTCACTATTCTTTTATCTGTACGGAATTCAATTGAACGTTGCTTGAATCCATTAATTGCTATCAGTATTGGTGAGAGCGTTTTCGTTTTACTTTCTTGGCATTAAGCTCAGCTTGCGTCATAGAATCATTATTTTTTTTGATAAAGATACTGTGTTAAAAGTCTATTGCTTGTTTCTATTGACTGGTCGGAGAGTAGTCATCATCGTGTTATCTTATCTTTTCAAGAAAGTTGCAATTACTGAACACTAAAAACTGAACTTTTATTGTAAAAAAGTATGATAGCGATAAACTATACTATTCATAGACTACAGAATCATTTGATTCAAAAGAAGATTCAACTAGATTGTAGACGATTGGTCACAAACGAGCCGCAAAAAGAAGCAACGTAATCTTGCTGCTACAAGCTATTGAATTTCTTGTCATGTTGAAATGTTTTTTGTAGTACAAGATGAAGAAAATGATTCCTTTCATTTCAACTTTTATGCAACTCGCTGAACAAAAGAATACAACAATTTGCTTTGGAAGAAAATAGATGATGAAAGATATACGGTGAAAAAAGAAAGAAATGGCTTTCTAGTTTAATAGACTACAGAGATAGTGTTATGAGCCAAAAGTCTTGACTTTGATTCTCACTAGAAACATCAACGATATTCTGGTCGTCACTAGTAGAAAAAATATTCTCTACTATTACCTCATACTGGTAACAGTAGAACGTTTATGGTACTTTGTTTTTGTTTATCCATTCTACTGATGTGCATGACCTGTATTTGAACACCATAAGATAAAAAGTAGGTTGTTAAAACAAAATGGTTAGTGTACGTGTATTCCATGGCATCCCGTATCTTTACAAATTGCCCAATGCTTCAAAGAACCTGATTACTTTAGGCATTCTTTATCCTTTTCACACTCACCTTATTCTTCTTCTTGCTATTCATTTTTTTATCAAAAATGAATATCATACAATTCTCACTGATAGAAGACAGTCAAATTTCTTTTCAAAAGTTACATTGTAGAATAAAGCAAGGAATATACAATCTTACTTGCAGAATCATTATTTGCATTTCTGTAGATATTATTCTTTATATAGTTGTAACTTTTTTTACTGGTTTGGAAAGTGTAGACAGCAACATTTATAGGAAGAACAATATTAAGCTTATGATTCAACTCGATCTTGATACTAGTATTCCATGACGTAGGATCAGTCCTCATCATACATGACGGGTGGTCTTTGGCTTCGAACCAATCAATCTATCTTATGTCAATCAACAACTTGACCGGAAAGAAGCTGCTTGTATTTATTTTCATTGCAAAAATCCTTGAGGTCTTGGTATAAACTGGCAGAAATGATTATAAAAGCAGAATTTACTATCTGATTTGCACATTTGACGACAACAATAACAGCAACTCTTAGAAGCGATAGGACAACACTTCTCACTACAGCATTGTTCTCGAAGAGTCGTGGACATAGTATTTCTTCTATAGTTCCTCATTTATTTAGAATTGTGATTGGTGTTTTACGACCACTCTCTTTGCCTATATTAAAAACTCAATACGTTCCTCAATTGTGGAACTGATATATTTTTCTATCTAATCGACAAGACCAGAGACAATAGGGATATGAGCTAGTTTCCCGGAATCAGTTTGAATTCAACTGATTTTAAAAGATCATAGTTTCGGCTATGTTGAACCAAGTTTAAATTGTACTGAATGGAAACAAGGAATTTTACAAAATAGAGCAATCAACTATGAAACTAGTGAATAGACCAAGTCCTTTGCTTGATAGAATCAGATCGAAGTTGTTGAATGAAGAATAGTCAATTGTTTCTTAAGCACCTTTCATTCTCTCGTTCAAGGAGCCTTACCTAAAGAAACGCACGAGTTCGTCATAAATAGAGTACCTTTGGTTTTTGTCATATCATTTATGCCTAGTGATAAGGTCAATTTTAAGTTGCAGAAAGAGGGACTCTAATCTATCCTGGCAACTTTTCTATTGAACTTGGTGTCAAATAGAATGACTTGACCTTGTTCATATGAATTCATATTTTCTTAAGAATACTGTATTTGAAGACTACCTATTATATGCTATTTGAATTTATCCTTAACCTTTTCAACTGTTTATCATACAGCACACCATGCAACTCAGTTTCATAAAAGCGTTGGTATCGTTGAGACTATCAAGTTTTATGGCTATGACTTAAATAGTTTTGATAGAATTCACTTGACTCCAATCTGTTCCATCAAAGATTGTTTTGTAGTGGGACATGCATGCTGCCGCAGTCAA